GCTCTAGTTCTTAGAGTGCTCCGCCAGAAGTGCTTTAGGCAATTGAAGCTGGATAAAGTAGTCATCGCAATCCAACAAGCCACAACTTTTTGATAGGGTCTGGCATGCTTTATAAACGTTAACGCTTCCTACCCACCCCTAATTACCATATCCTGAAATCCTGCCTAACGGACCTCTGTTCAGAGTGATATGCGGCAACGAGTTTTCGGAAATCAGACCGATCCAAGGGAGCATTACTGTTTTACCATCTTACTAAACTTAAAAGAAATGACCGGAGAAGGTAGAGCAGCCGTTTGGTTGAGGTAACGTCTTTCTCATTTACTCTGTAATTTATGTAAGTCCGTATGAGCCGCCTGTTATCTACGAGGTTTTGTTCAAAACTAGTTCTCTGCCTGCTTGGCTTGGTACTAGTGGGACATCTTTTTAATTATGCGTTTTTTTATTATTATTATAGAACTGCATCAATTTATGCACTAAGCAGATAGATATCAAGAAAGCAGAATAAGTCTGCTTAGCGTGAATATGAACCTCTTTGAATTCATGACATGAACCGGATGGATGGCTTTATGGAGGCAGTTGATCGCCAGGCCAACCTCCTAGGAAGGGAGTGTAAGAGAGGAAATTGTAATGAAGATATGTTTCGGAGTGGAATTTAAGGTATGGAGAGATCAGTAACATAAAGAATTCTAAGGTCTAAGGTACAAGGAGTGTATGTTGTACTTTTTGATTTTATCGGCCCAGGCAATATCTTCGTATGTGAGAATAAATAGATTATATAGGAGCCGGCATCTTTACGACCTGTGCTCCGCGAACAGTATTGGTCTATTGTGCATCTCCATTTTTCATGTAGATCTCCTCGTTAAGCTTGAGGCGTTTTACCAGACCCCAAAGCTTTTTCTAGCACTCCCGTGTGCATACTTTAGGTACTGTTAGGTACTGGCTTTTCCCCTCCCACGTTTAGGAATCTCAGCCTACATAGGCCTTCTCACAAACGGAGGACGTGTTACGTTGTTTCTTCTTGGCAATATCTGCACAGGCTTGTTTCTGCCACTCCAAATCTATGCCTCCGGAGTCTGCAGTCTCCAGTTAACAGACCAAGTCCTAGCGCGTCCTAGATTTAGTAGTTCTGCCGTTATTTTCTATGATGGTCCTTTGATAAACATTTTCGCATCTGTCTTGGGCTACATTACCATTGAGCGGACGACTTATTATTAATCCATTGCCTAATGGATTCGCATTTTTGGCAGTTTGGTAAGCCACAAAAAGGTTCAGGGCCAATAGGTGTCCTTATTGAACTTCCAATTTATCTCCTCTTCGTTGCACCTCTGCCTGTTGGTCCTGGCACCCAGACAAGGGTAATTTTGTTATTTTCCCTAATGTCTGACAGGGTTCTAATGCAAGTCCTAAATGACTCTGGACTTTACCATGTGAGGATAGGTTTCACAGTGCACATAGAGCAGGATTTCCTTTTGTTAATAGTTGGATTGATTTGGGCTTTTGTGATGTTCCAAGGATAATGTTTTTAACTAGTATGTCTGCTGCCTCATTGCCTGTGTCTCTAAATTAGCGTTACGTTATTCGTATTACCAAAGTTTTAGAGTATTTATGCAGTTCCAGACCAATTTTGAGTTGATACCCTTAAAAAACTTTACGACACCATGGCTACCTAATAGAATTGTTATTGCTACACCTTTGAGATGTTGGTTATTTATTTCATGAGCACGTGTTTTATATACCTAGCAAAAGTTCTAACAAATAAAATCTCATAAAGTAAAAAGTGTGCAATTATAAAATTACATTCCTGGTTAAAAGTTATGATTGGCAACCGTAAATATATTACGTTTACGTAATTAGTTTACACAGAAAGGAAATTAAACGAGCCAACTAATATCGTTTTTCTTTATTTAAATTTATGTAAAAACAATTTACGCACATGCACGCAAAGTCTTTCAGGATATTAATTTTCGTGTAATTACTTTTTTTTATAGAAATGGTGAGTAACATTGATTCGTTGCGAGAGTAGAATTTCATTTGAACCTTGTTTTTCACTTGGCACATATCAAAACTAAACATAAAACTCCTGCCCAGATACCACTTTGAAGCCTTTCTACTCCTGAAGTCCTGACTGCAAAGTATCCACTACCACACAATCGCCTCTAAGCTTATAATTCGCCTGATGAGTTTTATAAAGCTAGAGTGTAATTTGTGAATACAGAATGTGATGTGTATTTATCACCTTTAGTAACCGTTCTTGTTATAGCATTTTTCAGTCAAATGAAACTTTTTTCAATTAAAAGAAACCTTATTTTCAGCACATTAAATCCAAAAATTTGGCCGTTTTGTAAAAGTCACCAGTCATTGAAATGTTAGCAATTATATATTTACGATGCATCAAAAAATAGGGTTTAAAGTTTTAGAACTCAAGTTCAATTAAATTCAATAAACAATGCCCATAAAAAAACCGACCACCTGGTTTTTGCAGGATAAAATGGCCAACTTTGGAAATGCATATTTTCTCAGCCTTTTAAGTCACAGACCTGTGCTAGGTCGATTTTTTTTTAGAATAATTTACACTGAACAAGATGGCTTGTTTACATGTTTTCCTAGCTCCAGTCATTCATCAGTAAATTCAAAAATTCGGGAAAATGTTAATTTGTGCACGTTTTACGAAAACATCAAATTGATCTGTGGAGCCAGGAAATCGTCTAAGAGCGGTATAGCAGTCGATAGGAAATTTTAATAAACTTTCAATTTATCTTACACTTTACACAATCTCAACCGTTTTCGAGTTATTCGCGATTTTTGGGCAAAAAAGTGGTTTTGTACGTGCTCATAGAAAAAAAACCCTCTCCCGATTTTCAAGAATGCATAAAATTTTGAACAGTCATATTTTCGCAAATTTTACGCCTTAGAACTTTTGTTCCGGGGCCGCGGGGAAGCGACAATTCTTATTTTTCTTACGTTGACCTTTTGGGATGCGGAATGCTTCTCTGACGATAACCAATTGTTTACCTCATCACGGAAGTTCAAAATTTCCTTCCTATTTCACAGGTTTTGCGGCAGCTGGGCTTCGAATATCGAATTGAAACAATAGGTTTATGAATGGTAAAATCGGTAGAGAGAGTAATCGGATTTCCCATGAGCACGTAAAAACAACGTTTTTTGGCCAAAAATAACTCGAAAACGGTTCAGAAATCGGACGAAGGGGAAGGTGACCAATTGAAAACTTCGTGCAAAAGCGAGGGGGGTCGGTTTTTATATCGGTAGTGTATAGTAAGATTAATGTAGAGGTTTTCCTGCAGTAGCTGCCGGTAGTTTAAATATTAACTCCAAAACGCTATCGGTGCTGTCTGTGCTTGTGTTGACACTGCAACTGAGGATCTCTGCAAGATCACTCACGTTGGTGGTCGAATCACTTAACATCCTCCTGACATCTTCGCTTTAATTTTTGATAAGTAGAGTTCATGTGGGTTCAGCATCGGTAGGTAAGAAGTATTTTATGGTGCATGAGAAGGATTCCAATAATTTCCGTTGTATTATGATCGTAGTCCATTATTAAAAATGAACGTTGAAGGGACATTTCGTGGAGTTAAGACACCGTAATAACTTCTCTTGTACAAAGGGTGATTCACGAACTATGCTAGAAACTCAAGGAGATGATTCTTCAGCTTATTTGCAACAAAAAATATCCTGTATGTTTTTTTTTAAATTCTCAATTCAAAGTTTCGGAGATATTTATTAAATAATTTCTTTTCTCCATAATGCTGTTTTTTAGGTTAAAACCGTCATAACGTTTTTGATCTTTAAGTTATAGAAAATCTGATTGCACCATTGGATATACCATAGTCATAAATGAGTTTTTAAAATGATTCCTTTAAGCATTGCATTTTGTGTTTAATCATGAAACAATCCAATTATTGTCATTTCAGCTAGAGTTTTAATTAATCTACATTTAAACCTGAGCAATTGTCAAGTATGGGCTATCCAAGTAAGAAAAACTTCTTCATGTAATAAGTTTTAAAACCATGTGCTTTATGTACACAACAGCCATATCAAATCAGAGGATTAAGGCGGATTTTCTCCTTCTTGTCAATTTTTTCCACTAATTTTGTATTTTTCTTAAAAACGGGACGTTATTTTATTTTGAACAATTATTATTTTTTATTTTTTTTATCAATCTGAATAAATAAAAAGAAAATTGATTTTCTTATGCAAACCCTATTTTTCCTCTAATGAACATTTTATCCTAGGGAAAAAAGCACATGGTTTTCAAGCTAATATCTTAAAGAGCAAAAAAATGATTACGGTTTTAACCTTAAAAAACAGCGTTTTTGAGAAAAGAAATTAATTTATAAATATCTCAGAAACTATTGAGAATTTTTAAAAATGTATAGAATATTTTTTATTGCAAATAAGCTGAACAATCATCTTGATTTTCGCGCATAGTTTATGAATTACTCTGTATATTCGCTCTTGACCTCGCTCTGCTCCTTCTCAGGTGGAGATTGAACTTTTAATCTGAGGTCTTGGTTGAGATGACGGTCGTGGGTTCGAATCCCGCTCGTGACACTAGCGTTTTCATCTCAACCAAGAACTTAGATTAAATGTATAATTAATTAAAATAATTTATATTAATATTCAACAGTAATTATTATTATTACTATTATTTAATCATTCAATTCAACAACCATCAATAATTATTATTACTATAACGTTGTTATTATTATGTATTACATACGTTTGCATAATTATTATCATCAGGTTTTAGGTTTCATTTGCTTGAAAAAAGGTTTCAGTTGGTTAAAAAAACGTTTCTTTTGACTGGAAAATGTTTACTGGTGTATTGCAGTGCTAACATAGTAATTATTATGTCATCTAGTATGAAATATCAATGATCAAAACTGACGATCAAGACGATTTATTTTGCTAGACAAAACATCTTTTATGTATTAAACAAATTAATAAACAATAATTAAAAAGTAAATTAATTTTTTAGTTTTGTGTTGCCAATAACAAGATTGGACATTTCCAAGGGCTTTGTTTAGTGACGTCATTGTATCGAGGCAACATGTCGCTTCGACGGAGGTTCCTGTAACAAATTATTGTTCAACAAGTCAGCAATCAGCAATACTGAATTTAGCAACAAGAATGCTTTTGATGTTTGCTGTTCTCTGCTTGGCACTTCTGCTGAATCCAGGAGCAGAAGCCAACCTGTTTGATCGGCTTGCAGCAACAGGCAGACGGACGACTTTGGACGAGTAAGTGCATTTCCTGGTCCTGCATAAGAATAAAATTTGAAAAATGTTAATATATTTATTTAAAAATGCTGCAACAGAATTTATAAAGAATTGGATAAACATATTACATCAATATTTTAAATTGTATCTCATTGTATATATATACATAAATTGTATCTCATGACATAAAACAACAATTACATATAAATGAAAGTTATGATTATTTGAAATAGCTTTACATATCTTTATTAAGGCCTTATGTTAGAAGCTACATGTCGTTTGTCAAAGTATTTTAGTTTACTAATGATAATTCGCAAAGGTTGAAAGTAGGTACTTAACAATGATGTAAAGTTACAAGTGTACATTGCCCACCACCAAATCTCCAAAGACCTCCAATCTATGCAAGGCAATAATTCGACATAAATAATCGAATTTTTAACATCTTAACACACATAAAATGTAATTTCATATCCCCTCAATAATTGTTTCCTCTGCTGGTGCCTAATGTTGGTGTTGCGATGCCCATTGGGTGGCTCAGGTGCTGGTCGGTCTGGACTGGAATGACGGGGTGCTATCTAGACTCAGAGATCAAGGAATCTTCCTTGGGCTTGGGGGTGTCAAGTTTAAAAGTATTAGTCACAAGCGTTCTTTTCCAGCCTGGGGCTGCCACTTCCCCATGATTTGCAGGACATTTGATCTGCTGGAGCCAGGCTGTACCAGTGACTTGTACAGACTTAAGTCTTAATGACCAATACGAACAAAGTCCTCTCAAAGAAAAAAAAAGTTACAGGTGATACTTTATTGCTTTTAATAAACTGTTGAGAATAATTGGATTATTGTCCATATCTGTCTTATTTCTGGCTTAATGCTGATTCCTAATATTGCAGCCAAGGAATGTAACAATGAGGAACTGTGATAATAAAGTGAGTATTTTTTCAGCTCCTTAGTAAGTTTTCCAGTTCTATCCATGAAATTTTTCTGATTCTTTTCTATGACATCTTTAGTTGAATATAATGCATGATTTGTCTTTGCTGACGAGTCTGCAATCTCCTCAAGCCTCGAGCCCTCTAAGAACCACCTCCTTATTTTAGAACCACGATTGTTTAAAAGCCACATAAGAATAAATAAAAGCCTATATAAATCTAAGATCGGGAGATAACTCCACTTTTTCTTAATCAAATTCCATTTCCTGTGGCAGATTGTAAAGTACTTCCGTAAATAAACAAATACTTGAAACTGTACACAAAAATGACAGAATTGACATACAGGTAAAACAACTAAAAAATCTTGCTTCTATTCACGTTAAAAAATAAAAACTTTACATGTCTCTTCAAGCTCTTGAACTGGAACTATATAGAATGGAAATCATGTCTTAAGTGTTTCCACTCCAGTCAAAAATCTTCCTCACAAACACCACTGTCCTTTCCCTGTCTATCTCACTTAACACTAGGTCATATAATCATGTTCTTTCATGATTGTTAATAATGAAGTTAAAAAAATTCAGTATTCTATATAGCTAGAACATTTTGAAACATGGTAAGTTTTTGAATTTCACCAATTCCTATTTTCTAGTGAAATTGGAAAGCAACAAAATTAGACAAAACATAGCAAAGCCCCTGAACTAATTTTTTAACATGTCAACCATGCTCTTTCTAAATAGCATGAAGAGAAAGGAGCTGAGTATACTTGTCAAGTCTTATCGAATTTGTATTTACAGGCCATTTGTCGACAAATCTTTGAGATAAGGAATATGGATATACAACTTCAATAAGCAAATAAGGAATTAAACTATTCAATTGGTTACCACTTAATTTTCAAAATTTCTCTGTGCTTATTGCAACAATTACTCCTCTGGACTTAACACTAGTATATTCATAAAGTTTCATATATCAAGTGACTGTCAATAGATGGCACTCGAAGGATCATTCTCACCCGATTAAGGATATGACCTGCATGTAGAGAAAGGTTGCTCAATGAGTCCCATTGAATTTAAGGGTCCATTCCTTGGCTTAGTATAGAGTGTGTAGGAATAATATGAGAGTTGTGCTTAAGCACAGAAGTGAGTATCTGGGCCCCTGATCCTGAAACAGAGTTGTTTTATTGTATGTGGTAATAATGGTTTTTGTGTCCCTAGTGTGTGTTGAGAGTGAATATATGTATTAGCGTGAATGTGTAGTACAAGGTCAATTTTTTTTAAAATTCCCATCTACCTCCGTGCAATACCTAAGAGAGACTCTGTACTTGGCAGACCAGGAATTAGTTTCTACGTTTTACAAATGTAGGGGATCTTATGTACTTATGGCTACCTTCGGCCTTGCCCTAAAAGGGGAGACCCAAGGAGGCAAGGGATGTTTTTTAAATTTACCTAATCTAAAAGGTCTCCCCCTTTTGAATACATTTTATAATAAAAACAAATACAATAAAAAAACAAACGCCTTTAAAAATTAATAATAATAATAAAAAAACAATATATACAATATTTTAATAAATAACAAATGGGGGGGGGGGTTGATGGCCACAATGGTTTACCTGGTTGAACATATAAGATTAAGGTCTGTCCCCGGACTACCAACACCTGGGGTGGGTAATTCATTCTCAAGGACTGCGGGTAATGTATTGTAATTACAAAAGCTGGAAATGCCGTCGACTGCAAAAAGCAATGCGGTAAACTTTGTACAGCATGTACGACGTGCATGGGTAGATTTGAGCTTATATAAATCAGTAAACAGTAAATACATAAAGTCCCTGGAAGGTTCAACAAAAGAAAAATTTGGTTTAAAACAAAATCAAGATGTTCCCTAATGACTAAATATTTCTATGACGTAAAGGCAATCAATATTTCATGATGTGTTACGACATCGATGTGTAACCATTTATGCAGTGGAAAATGTAGTAAAAACAGTTGATTGTGAAAACCGACTTGTAATATACTAGCTGTTTGAAGTTAGTCGTCTTTCTGATCATTTTGCACTATTAGGAATCGCACTACCTTCACTAAAGACGGCGAGAACAAAGCACATCTGATAGGCAGATCAAAATGATTGGAAATGACCAAATTACAATATCACCCGACAGGCCAAGAGAAAATCTCACAATATTAGATGCTCTTGCTTTATAAGTACTTAGGCAAAGAGTTAAGGTTTATTTTGATAATTATTTTTCCATAAGTTTGCAAGCATAATTTAAAGTCCCTTGGGCATCATTGCACATTTCAGACCCTGGCATGGGAGATGGTTCCCTGAGAAAGTACCAGACAGCCCACAGAACAAATACTCCAAAGTGATGGAGGAACGTTTACAGGATATGAGCACACTTGACCCAGAATGCGACGATGGAAAAGTAAATAATATCGCTTTGTCTCATGGTCATTTTATGAATTTTGGTTTAATTTGCTAGACCAACATAACATTAGATTGGCCTACTTCCTATTCGGACTATATATGCATGAGGAATGAGTACCTGGTTCCAGACCGAAGCGCTTATGTTATCATCAGGACTGCCAGAATCCCACAAATGTACATGGTACGTTTATCAACGCTACATGAAAAATGACATCTATTTACCATATATTTTTATTATGTCTAGGCCAGACACGCTTGTATGAACAGAACGCTGGAATACAACACATCACCTCCTCTATTGTATGTAAACTATATTATATATTTATTCTCTTTAAGGAAGTGTTTTGTTTTACAGCGGACCACACCGTAAAGTCTGGGCGAGATGGGGTGAATACAAATACCTCCCGCCACAAAGATGGGTCCACAATTTAGAGGTAAATAAGAATAAAAAATCATTTTATGGCTAGTAAATAATAAATTAAAACATTTTATCGATTTAAGCATGGAGGCGTAGTTATGCTTTACCACCCATGTGCCCAGCCATTCCTCGTCAACATACTAAAGACAGTCGTGAGCTCTTGCCTGATGAGGCACATCATCACACCTTATAACGACCTTCCTTTAGAAACAGTAAACATATTACAACTTATTTCCAAACTGACATTTCAATTGTTTTTTCTTTTAAGCCTTTTGCAGTGCTGACATGGGGCAAGGCCTACCTGACACCAGACATCGATATCAGGAGCATCGTACATTTCATCAGGGCCAACGCTCTCAAAGGGCCTGAAAATGTCAGTACAAACGGCCTATATGACTATAAACTGATCAAGCCAGCTGAAATTGTGTCAAGCCCCGATGACGCCCTACTTTGTCCTATCATACCGACCATTTAAAAAAATGACAAAAACTTTTATTGACCATTAATACCATGAAAATTATTTTGAAAACTAAAAATCTGTAACATCAATGATGGAAATCACACTTTTATTTGAATGTTACTTGATATTTTTTTATTTATAAACTAGTCAACTTTTTTGTGAACATAATTTATAAACGAACAATCCTAAGTTTTTTAATATATATTTAAATTTTGTTTTATGAATTTTATCTGTAAATAAACATACTTTATTGGCAATCAGTGTTTATTGGTGAAAACTACAGTTTCATATTTATAAACTTGTTTAAAAAAAGGGGGGGCTTTAATCGTTTAGGCATTGACACGGCATTTATCACTGTACATCCTGGGTTCAAATACAGTTGTCCTGCATTTGAACCCAACAAAAACCAATGGGTTTTTCCAAAACACCAGCACTCAGAGGGTTCATATAACCTCACGACTACTCTTGTTAAAATAATAATAATTTATCCCTCGATTTCGCTTTTATTTGTACTATGTGGATGTGTTTATCAATTGCTCTTAATAACTGATATTCTTTGTGGACTGTATGTACATCGGTTCTGCTCCAAAATGTGCACAATGTGAGCCATGGCACTCATGTGAGTTGTCCTCAAGTTTTAAAACATTTTAACAAAGAGCTTGTTAATTTACTAGTGAGTTAACTTTTCAGAATTCGGAAGCTGCTTCTCCAGATATCACAGCCCAAGCAATTAGGAAACAGCTTCTACCACCAAAAGATGACACGGGTAAAATCCAGAAGGCACCATAGTGCAGAATCCTCACCATCAATAAATGTGAGGGGAAAAATGCCAGATATGAAAACATCCAACCCTAAAAATCCTGGATAATCATGCAATCCACAAAACTCAGCTTACTCGCCGACAGCACCATCGCTTCACAAGCTTCAACAGCCACAATGGATGACCATTCCGCTCGACCTCTGCCGAGTTGTAGAGAAGCTAGATGAATGAAAAATGGCGATCACTGTGAACTGATACAACCTCTGCCATAAGTAGGATAGGAAAAATAGACATAAATTGGGGTTTAATGTAACCAATGTTGCAAACATGCTCAGCCAAAGAGAAAATGATGGGCAATCCACTACCTTTTTTCTTCATACACATCGAACCCACACTCCTGGTTATATTATGTCACTAAATGGTCCATAATAATGTGAAGGTAGAAAAGACATTCACAAAAGGAGATAATGCAATATCACCATGGATATACGTCCACCATAGTGAAGTACAGAGGCACCCAACAAATATATCATCCCACTTGTTTTTTTTCAACCATGTATTCATATTTAATCACCAAAAACGGAAAAGCCAACAGATAGAATAATTCTCAAAAAATTCAAAGAGAAAATAAACTTAAAATATTAAATTCAAATTAGTAAACTAAAAATAATTAAAAATTAGTAAACTCACCATCACTCCCTGAAGAATAGTGTCTGGTCTGTGAAAACAGAAATGATTGGAGGGATTTAAAAGAAATGGTTTAACTTTAAATATTTTATTTAAAAAAGAAAAAGAACTCCATAATTAGCTATTATGCTATTTTTTGTCTGGCTTTTGGCACCAGAGGTCGGTGAGTGAGATGTGCTAAGAAATAAATAAAAAATCTACTGTTTCTCTTTCGTTTTGAAAACTATGATCGGATGATGTTAAATGATAGATTTATTATGGACAAACACATTGGAAAGCAAACAGTTCAGTGGAAGATGAACAGGGCTAAAATGGTAACAGACAATATGAGGTATCTTCTATTCATAAGAAAAAAACAAAACAAAAACAAGCCTACATTGAATTGACTTTGTGCTTCTTTGTTTTCCATGTTTCTTTCATTAAAGACAACAATGGCTTCTTTATTTTATTTAAACCCTATTAAAAAGAGATTTTTCATTTTTACATTTCATAGGACACTTTGACCACATTTCACATTCTCCCATAATCTCTGTTAAATGTTTTCTACATTTATAGAACATACAATGTTAATGATCATTTTCATAATAATTTGTAGGGCGATTGGGCTTGGTTTTGTTGCTAAAATATACGACATGTAACAAAGCTGTTATGTGTGTAATAGGCAACACATAACTAGAGGAGGAGAGCTAGCTTTTATGAATAGTTATATAATTCACTTTGTATATATTTTGCGTTATATTATTATGACAGCACATTTTTTTTTAATCATTCGCATACTATCATAAAAATTAGTTCTCCTTGTAAACATTAAAAGAATGAATGATTATGGGAGGGGAAGAGGACTTTGCCTTATTATTATAGTGAAAATAGGGGGCACATTTAGAGAGAGAGAGAAATATATACTTTTTATTTAATTATTATTTTAATTATTATAGTGTTACTGATCTAACCACATTTTCTGGATTAGACAATCTCACTTGAAGTAGCAATAATGAATTTTTTCTTTAATAAAAAAAACAAAAACAAAAATGTCAAATTTATACATATATACGAGTTACAATATAATCGAGTTATTGTTTCGTTACAATCATAACGAATTCACATGTATTCTGAATAGCTAAAATATTTTTAAAACATGCTAGATTTACAACTTCAGAACACCAGTTTCTATTTTCTAGAGAAATGATAAAAAGAAAATACTGTACTAAGAAATTTTCATAAAGCTACCATTTGGAAATTAAACGGTGAAACCGACTGGTGTACTAAAGTAATTACTGTTAAGATACATACATATATATATTTTTTTATAAATTTATTTATATATATTGTGACTAGGTCTATAAACAAAGGAAATCTTATATCACTTTTTTTTAAATAATATTGTTTTTCTTATTGACATACACACCAGTGCTTTACAACAGCGTTTGCTGCGCTTAAACACATTTATATACACACATCGTATAAAACTATAGGCCAGTTTAAACATTTTTTTTAAAGATAGAAAGCTAAAAATGACTAAGATACGCTTATGATCAAACTGAAACAGGATATAAATTATTAGATTTTGGGTTAATTCTTATGCAGAACTGAGATAGTCGTGGGATCTAATATCGCACACAGTACCCAACAGGAATGTCCATTTGTAAACACAAAACAAAATTCAGAAAATGCAAATTGCTGTTGAGTTTTGTGTGCTTGACTAACAATTAAAACCTTAATACTATCACAGTCATGCCAAAAGTGTTGACTACAAATACAAAAATTAAGTACTCAAAAAATGTAAAATTTATTATAAATGAATATTATTCTTGTAAAAATATATTTTTTATATATCATCGAACAAGTTGACAACTAACAGGACGCCTAAGTCACTACGTATGAAAGAAATTGTGTCAAAAAAATCATTGCACAATTCAAAAAGGATAATGCAATGCTCAACCTACAGCAGTTATAAATTATTCTTTATCAAGCCTACAAAAACACGGATGCGAGTGAGAATTTATTATATAAATACAAAAAGATAACAAAAAATTCTAACTTTCAATTTAAGTTTTCTTGCTTTGTCACTAAGGGCACCAAATACATCATCGTTTTGCAACGATTAGAATAATCAATTTGAAAATGATGTGTACTTGATTTTAGAATTCGAGAACTTTGGTTTTCAATTCAGTGAATCAAGAATTCAGTCTGAATTTATATGAAAAACTTACTTTTAAATAAATAAAAAATTAATAAATAGACTTTTAATACACTAATTTAATATATTATTATCTACATTTTCTTCCTTTTTTTTTTGTAAAATTCTCTTCTCAAACTACAATTTAAATTTTCTTTTTTTAAATAAGTTTTATTGCGATAAAGCTTTCACATCACGTTGAAAAGTGCCTTTTTCTTAAACGTTAATAAAAAGAGAATTTTCAAAAAAGAATTAAATAAATAGAAATGAAGATAAAAAAATTATACTCTAAATATTTAAATCTTTATAGTAATAAATACAATTTATAATAATAAAACAAATGCTTCAACTAGGCAAAGATAAATAACGTCATTTTAATAAACTATCGACAATTCATTTGATGATAATATTGATTAAAAGGTTCATTATATACACGTTAAAATTGAATAATTTTTTTAAAAATTTATTGTTAGGGTAACAAATTAGTTTCATGTTTCACATAAACGCCCACTTTCAATCATGATATTACGTTGCAAATATTCATCCAATTTTGCTACTCGTTAAATTTTATTTTCATTGAATATACAATGTCACAGAAGCAATGTTGCCTATAAACTACGTTATTTACATGCAACTTGACAAATTATATCACAAAAAATTTCATTACCACGGAGAAATGGTGCCAGGCCAATATCTATATCACATATAAATATAGTAAAGACAAACACTTCAATTAAATTAATCACTTATTGCTGAGGCATATGCCTTTTTTTTTTTTTTTCCAATCCTGATGTAATATATTATGTATTACATACACACAAGAGACGGAAACTACGGTTTTGCTACATGTTCTTGCCTTTAATGAAGTGCCCAGACACTTAAGATGGTACAAAATTATACAAAAATCTCCACCGATTTATTCAATAAATTCACTCTTAATTTTAGTGTTTTGTTTTATTTACACGACGTTTATTTTTAAAAGAAGGACTTCGTTGTTCTCAGTTTTGAATTGACTCCAGAGAGATGACACAAATTTAATTTGTGGTGTTTTCAGATTTACAATTTCACAAACCGTCCTTCCTCTTAGGCAGAGTCAGCCATTTTCTCGACAAATTAATTTTTCAAAGGCTAAAGTAAATAATAGATTAGTCAATAATTAAATAGCTACTAGTTGAATTATTGTCTGATAAAATTGCAGGGAAAAGGGCTGTTTGAATGCCTGGAGAAGGAAAGTGGTGCATTTTCTATGCGGGTAGCTAAGAACTGTCGATAAATTTGTACATCGTACGTCCCTGCTCAATTTATTCATTTATTTTTCTTTCCAATTCTGCATAAAATGAGTTAAAAAAAAATCTTTTAAATTCTGAACATCAACAACTTAAGATCATAGTTCCAATTAAGAGTGACTGCCAAAAAAAAAAAAAAAAAGAGAAAAAAAATTACACATAGCTGAGGGATTCAGCTTGCCAGTTCAATTAATAGATTAATTTTTTCATTGCAGCTTATAATATGTTTGTAATATGCCAAATTAAAAGATTGTATCATCTCTTTAGATATGGAGTTGGTAGGATATTTGACCCAGTTGTTGAGAAAGTGGTGGGTAAATTGAACAAACAGCAAACGATTTTAACCTGTACAATAAAAGGACTTCAGTCATTATTTGACTTTCGCCCTTGATATGTGACAAAAGGAAGAGCCAAATTCAAGTTCATCACCTCATGATTTTATTTTTGTGCATTGATAGATAAATTGTTGTTTTCTTTTTTTTAATCTGACTGTCTTTAAAATACTTCTTATTTATTTGGTTTTTTACTTTTAAAGCTTTCTTTAAACGACTAATTGTTTAAATTGAATTTATAAAACTTTTCAATGAGGCTGCGAACAATCGCCTCTCAAAATATCATCTTTTATATTAATTATCAAGTAGAAAGATTTTGTAAAACATTCGAAATAAAGGAGTGAAACAGTACAAGCTAGAGCTGTTCTAGATAATAAGCTCCCGACAAATTTGTACTGTGATGTGTCCTTAAGTTTATTAAAAGATCAATGTATAATTTGTATTTACAGTTTCGGCTGATTATATTATTTGCTTCCTCTCAAAAATTTACTGGGATTCGTTAAGTTGGGAGAGTAAAGTGAAATATAAAATTAATATTGGGATAATGAAGATTTTTGGCGTACAATTGAAATCCTAGAATTAGTTTCTTTAAAAAATACCACTTGTATATACAAAACAATTCCCGTTTATAAATATAATCGTGGCAGTGGGGATTTAAAATGTATAGCACCTAAATTTAATAATTTCGCTATACAAAGAGCCGTGAATGTGGGAGGGGAAGGGATTAATGTGCCTTAAAACTACTCTCTTATCCAATTTTTGTATTTATTTTGCATTTTTTGATTTTTTTGTTTTTTTAATTCAGGGCGTCAAGAAACTAATCCATAAGAATGAAAGTAATGACTTTTAACTTCATTTAGAATAACCAAAAAGAAGCCCTCAGACACAAGACCAACAAATAGAACAACAAAATTCAAACATCCAATGGCTACATTACAAAGACACACATATACTTTTTATTTATTTGGGGGAGGGGGGACGAGCAAGAAAAACTACCGCTCAAATAAGAAGGCACTATGGGAGTTTAATTTGGAATCAATGACAATAAATTAAATCGCCCTCCCATTTTATCATTTCAAATAGTTTCACACCAGCAGGCTCCGCCTATTTTTGTTGTTTGGAATCAATTTTTTATTAATAACAAATCTAGACCTACTAGAAAAAAATGTTTAAGTACATAAACATTAATAAAGTTAATTTTTGTTTCAGGAAGAAATTCATTTTTTTCTCTCTTGTACGTTACATACAAATATATATGCATGTTTGAAACTACCTGTACAATAATTTATTACTTGTTAATATTCCTTTTTTTATAGTGTTTATGCAAAATATATAATCAAAAACTTACTAATACAGTAGCTAATAGACTATATGAGTAAATGATGTTGACTAGAAGAGTTTCTCTTCCCTGTAAGTTGATCTTCTCACAGGTTTATCTAGAAAAATCACATTAAAATATAATTTTACTAACAACAATATAAAGAAAAGACCTGTTTTCAGTATTAATAAATAAAATTCACTTTATAGGCATTAAATTGTTTATAAAAAAAAGTGGTAGCTGTCAGTTCTTTATTAAGTGACATTTTAAATAAATTATAGCTGTTTGTTCAATTTTGATTACAAATTGTTCTGTTTTGACACAAATTTTTAAAAATGAGACTACTGGGATTGCTGCTGAAGAATTGCACATTAAAAAATAATTAATATGTAACCTTTTATTTTTTTTGTTAAGCTGAACAAAATGCTAAATTGGTATTATTTTAATGTAAATTTGTTTTATTATATTATATATGTATTGTACGTGCATAACAATGTATTGTCTATAATACTGTAATATAAAAATAAAATAAATAAAAAACTGATCAAAAATATTTATTTACACACCTGTCAGAAACAGAATAATGATTTTTTTAAAGAACTTTCACTAACCTCAGCAATAGATTTAATATTACACACATACAGAAGAAAAATGAAAATTCTGCTGTCGTCTATGGCTTCGGTTGTTGAAAGTTTTCAATTTGGTGTGAACAATACAAATAAGAGACAAAAGAAAGAAATATACTCACTTCTTTAGAAACCGAAGTAGCCTGCTATGGTTGACGCGACGATAAGCCCAAGTACCGAAAGGCATATTAAGATCATAATCTTCTTCTGCTCAAAGAAAGTAAAAGATGCATTAAGAAACGACCAAAGAAATTAGCTTAAAATTTTTAAAGCAAAGCCGATAAGGTGGCTTGTTAAACATGCTTTGGTGACTTGATAAAGTCCTATGCACTTTATTAGTGTTATGAATCTATAATTTATTTTATGACAGTTTAAAAAAAATGAGATCATTAAAGGCCACCGAATCATGTCACGAACAGCCTGTGAGTTTTATTTATTTTGTTTTTAATTAAAAATAAAGAAATAATACACTTGAAAAATTATATTAAGGTAGAAAAAATTATATTTTCACTTTTAAGGTGATAAGAATTAATGTTTATTATTAACGTATAATTGGTTAAAGCTAAAAATATTTTTTAAGTTCAGTTTTGAATAAATTGCAACATTTAAATAATTTATACATAACAATTATAGTAGAGCTCATTATTTTGGTAACCTTTTGACTTCTAATCCACTAAAATTACTAAAAATTGTTGGCGTTGATCAATTGACGATGTTATTCAGCTGTTTATTAGGTACATGCTTTTTTTTTTTTTTTTTCTTTTTTTTTGAAGGCACACCGCACAGAATTGTCTCCAAAACAATATAGTTATTTTACTTTCTTTTTCCTTGAACAATTTGTTTTTTGTTCTGTTAATCAAATTCTGAGGTAATTACAATTATTACTCCAAAGTGACAAGGAAAAAAGGTAAATTTATTTATAATCTTTTGAAATAGTCAATCCAGTGCTCAATGTTAGAGTGCACCTCTGATAACTTGTATTGCATCCACACTTAATTTATTTGATTAAGCATATACTTAATTTCACTTTTTTTGCTCACCCTGTCATTTTTTCATATTTTTTGATTGAGCAAGCAAAATGAAAGTAAAATCACTATAGACAGAAGTCCATAGGAGAACACCAATTCTGTCTCCTTTTGTCTTCCACTTTTTTCTTTTTAATGTTTAAGTAACTTCAAATTTCCACTTGTGCTACTCATGGTTTCCTTGCTCTTACAATAACATTATTTTCTTAACGTACGTACAACTAGAGACAGACAACATAATATATAAAAGGGGTGTTTTGCATTATATATATTTTAATGTTTCACTGCCAAATACCTTTTACTTACATACTTACATCATAAGAGTATTATAAATTAATGAACACCCCGGATACATTTTCACTTACGGTTTACCTAGAGGGATTTTCTAGGTAATTCAATTGTTTATTTGGTCCTATTGTGTACATTTGGTTTCAAAACGGTTCGCTACATTTCCCAACTGATTTGAAATAAATTATTTCCAATTTATATGCTTTTCAAGACAATTTTCATACTCTTGATTTTTTTTTAAATCTAAAATCATGCTTATTTACACTAACATGTTTTCACAACTTTTGTGTACAAATAATTTAAATATTTTATTAAATTAAATTATACTAATAATAATTATAATATAGGGCAGCATTGTTTTTAATTGCATAAAAAAATATATGCCTATACGCCTAGTATTTAACTTACATTGTAACGAAAGAAAAAACAGTCCCTTCAGAAGGAATAAAACAATCTTATAGAGCAACAACAAACTATCCAATAATGAATACATTTATAACTTAACAGGAAACAAATTGTCTTTAAAGAAAAAATATATAGTAAACGGACAGAATGTGGATACTCTTATATGGCATTTTAAATATAGTTTTGTGCGTTTTGTTATCTCAAAGGTGAAGAAAAGATCTCAAAGAGTTTTCACCAGAAGAATGGTGAGAGAATGAGATTTTCACAATGAAAACGTTTCGAATCAACTAACATGTAACAGTATGCATATCTTTGGTACCACATAATTCATGTTCAACACTGTCGAACCTGAATGTGAACTTTAAATTGTCAACTGTTTGAAATACTCACTCTTTTAACAATAACCAAAAATGAAAAACCACAGATATTTGAAAAATGAATATAGCAATATTTTAACTACAAAATAATAAACACATAAGGTTTCATAATAATAAATAAATAAAATTACTTTGGTTTAGTATTGTAAGACTATAGAAATCAATTGAAACAGTCAGGCCAGGTATTGGTCACATTCAGATTTACAGATGTACAAGCATAACTAAAATATCATTTTTTTATTGTACAGGGTTGAACAGATACTTTGGGTACTATAATTTAAAAAAATGGTTTGAAATGGAATAGCTTACTTCTAAATGCATACAATTAACATTTAGTTCAAAGGAAAGGTTTTTTTTCTATTACAGGTCCTCAGTGTTAAAAAAAAAATGCATGAGAACTAGAGGTACCTGATCCAAAATATTTGACATGACACAAGGAGAGAGTTGATTTACACAATTTTCTTTTTAATGACTAATATGAGTTATTGTCACTGCCGAAGTAGGATATTTACAATTATACATAGGGTAAGAAGATGTGGCGCTCTAAAAAAAATCTGTTACAACAGGCTTCATTACACTGGTTTGAAATGGAAAACGAGGAACCTAGATATGTGACAATGGCGCTCACTTTGTAAAGATAAAATTTACTCGCTTCAAATTGCTGCCTAACCGGATAAAGCTTTTTGAAATGACCACCGTTTCCAAAAACCCTCCTTGTCCAACATTCCCTGGACTTTCATAGAAATATGACGGATAAAACTATTATTAATATTAACACAGTTATTGTCAGGCAGATGAAAATGTAGATTTTTTTCTGTGAACAAAATAAAAAATAAATGTTAGGGATTTTTTTTTTCAAAACAGAATAACGTTTTGGGAAAAGTAAGTGTAAATAATGTAGTATTAATTATGTAAAAATTAACACACATACAAAAAAAGAAGAGTTATTTTTATAGATGGAAACGTTTCAACGTTGACCATCCCAACTGTTATTTTCAGCCAGTACTCTTTTTAATAAAAATTATCGCTATACAGGTTGAGTTTAACTTCTCCTCCACACATATTTTTGTATAGGGCGTTTTAAAAAATGATTAAAATTTTAAAGAAGTAAAAATTTAAAAATACCAAGACATGTAAATTTTTATTTTTTGTCTAGCCCGGTGTCTAATCTAAATTTCCATCCAAAAATACAAACTTAAAGAAATTAATGTTTAATAAATAAAAAAATAAAAAAAATTTATTTATTGAATTTTGAGGCTTTTGAATCCTAAAAAGATTGAAATATTTCAATAATTTAACATCACACTAAAGTTTAGTTTTATTCTTCAACTGACTATGCAAATCATAAAAATGTCTCGCACATTGCAAAATAAATAAATAAAAAATAAAACAANCCCGGTGTCTAATCTAAATTTCCATCCAAAAATATAAAAAAAAAAAAAAAAAAAAAAACTAAATAAATAAATTTAAAAAATTGGTTTGTTGGCCTATGTGGCTTTTGAATTATCTAAAAAAAATGTTTTAATAAATATTTAACATCACACTAAAGTTTAGTTTTATTCTTCAACTGACTATGCAAATCATAAAAATGTCTCGCACATTGCAAAATAAATAAATAAAAAATAAAACTGGTGGTAAAATTGAACCACTTTTGCACCAGGCTGAATTGAACTTTCATGAGATACATCCAAGGAAACCTGCGCATGTTATTTACTATCAATTACAATGATAAATATAAATAAATAAAGTGATGAATGGCTGGAGAAGTCGGAGAAGATTTTGTTTATCCAAAAAACACTGTTCAGAAAAAGTTTTTTGCAAATAACTTGAGAACGGATACACCTAATTCAATACAGATTGCACCATTGATTTCAGCATCAAAAATCTTGAAAAAATATACAGAAAGTAAATGTAATGTCCTGCTAAGAAGAAATGCATATCTTCTAATTTTTTAACTTTTTTTTAACAATCGTATTCTTAAGTGCGTTTTCTATTGAAAAACATGATATTGGCATAAATCACTCCAGCAATATTTAAAATATCACTGTATTGTATATAGCTTAAAATATTTTGAAGAAAATTTGTAAAAAAAAAAAAAAAAGAATTTTCAAAATTTTACCTTATCTTAATAAAAAGTGTTTGTCACTAAATAAAATTAATGCATATGTGACTTGCGTTATTTTCCACTTGTTTTACACCATGAAAACTAGTTTCCTGTGTAAAACATATCAATTAGTGAGGAGATGCATTGGAATAAACAAAGGAATGGGAATTCAGTGGCATTAATTTAAATATGTGATTCATTTATATTCATAATATTGTGTTTGTGTGTGTGTGTGTGTTAAACACTTTCTTTGAAGATATGTTCTTTTTTTATCACAAATTTTAAGTAAAGTAACATTTAATTCTATTGTTAATTATTTCTTCTTAATTCTATTTTTTTTTTTTTTTAATTGCACTAAGAGTGAATCGATACATAAGTTATAAATTTTAATAAAAAAAGCATTCAGGATTATAGAAGTGGAATTAGAGTCTTAGCGCAAAAATTAAAAAATACTGCAACTTAACTGAGGACATTCAACAAGAAAATTTTAAAACTCAATTTCTAAAATCCATCAAAACATTAGATACAGCATTTCTACTTATCCTAAAGAGTTATGCCAAAACTTTTTGGCTTATGAGAAACTATACCAAAAAAAAAAAAGGAAACTAAAAATTTATGTCTCAGGTTTTTTTTCACAAAAACGCCCTAATAAAATATATATATGTAGGAGGAACAGAAAAACTCACCATGTATAATATTTAAGCATGATATGACTTTTGTCCCAATTATGTTATTTTTATTATTATTTCATAATTCATTATGCTAAACATGCACTTTTAAGGTAAACATTATTCTTTGTATGTAAGGTCTTGGTTAAAAAGGAAAAGTTAGCATCACGAACGGGATTCGAACCCACGACCTTCAGCTCAATACACTGCACCTCTAACCACTTGAGCTGTTGTGATAAAAGTGGTTAGAGCAGTGGCATATTGAGCCGAAGATCGTGGGTTCAAAACCAGCTCATGAACTTTTTCATTTCAATGAAAGCCTTACATACAAAGAACAATTAATTGAAAGAAGTAATTTGGTCAGTCAGACCACTAAACATAATAGATTTAATAAACAGACATGTCGCATGACATTGTAAATTTTTTCTTAAAACATTATGATGAAGACATAGTTTTCTTAAATCAAATTCTATACTCTTGAATTGTATGCTTGTAAAAGCACAATGCAAACAAATGATTGCCCTGATTAATATTTAAAAAAAGCCCATTAGAAAGAGAGAAAGAAAAAAACTTGTTACAATCAATGTTTAGATTTGTTTTTTTAATGGAAAACATATTTATAAAAATTGTAAAATTTACAACAAATGGTTTTACTGTCATTACCCTGCAACTGACCCCATTAATACTAATATAGATTTCTCAAATATTTTCTTTGCACATTAATCAAAAGTTGCCCATAAAAAGTCATACAAGATTATTTATTGTAACTACAATATTATATACGTTACTTGGGAATATCTTTTCAAATAATCTTCTTATTACTTTTTTTATGTTACATCTTCAAAACTTATTTGTAACAAATTAAATTTATTGTAATAATTATACTTTTGCACATTAATCAGTATTATTCAAGGCATTTAGGAATGTGTCGAAAATTGCTATGTACAAGTTATTCTAATAAAACATGAAGATGGTATGGGACAATCAAAAAGACACCCATTGCAAGACTGTGCACACTGAAAACAGAATTAAGATAACATCTAAAACATGCTAGGGAGGGATTCTAACATAAAACAAACCTTAGCATATGACCAATGATGCTGACGGAACTATTATTTCATGGAAGTTGATCTTTCTTTGAAATTGTCGTGTTATCTCATGAATTACACTAACTTGTGCAAAAATGACATAAATGATTGCACAATGAAATGAACTGAATAAAAAAAATAAATAAATAAATAAATAAATTTAAAAAATATGAACCTTTGGAATCTAGACATAAGCTTTTAATGTGCAAAAATTTATCAAAATTATTTTCATCGGATTTGATTAGTTACTGTGTATTTAAGTGTAAAGATATTGAAAATTGTTTGTAGATACCTTTCGTGCCTTTGAAGAGTAGTTCTCTGCTATGACAAGCTCTTCCCTTGCCTGGGTCACGGCTTCGCTCGTGTTCGTCACTTGGTACTCGATTCGGTCGACGAGTTCTCCCTGGATTATTTGGAAAAAGGGTGGAGGAGGTGGAAAAAGGGGCAGAGAGAAACCAAGACAAGCAACACCGAAAAAACAACAATACACCGCAACAAACAAGCACACACACAACCCATTGTTAAATTTTTGTTATACATGTCAGTTTTAATAAGTAGCATTGAAACCATGAGACACAATGTGAATTAGTAAAAAGATAGAAATACAACGCCAAGGAGAGATAGAAAAGGGTTATAAAGGAAAATAAAATAAAACAAATTAATCAATAAAACAATATAGAAAATTGATCATGTGAACAAAATGGACATCGGCCTTGAAGAAATAGAAAAGTTAAACCAAAAGACAGAAAACATAAAATTTTTTACAAACAAAACTGGGTGGCTACACACCCAGTACACAACTTATAGATGAATTTGCTTCGGACACTCACCCGGCGAGCTTTACTTTGATACTTGAGCGCTTTCTTTGTATCCTGCGTCGCCGTTTGCACATAATCCACTGCATGCTCAACATGGTATTCTATACGGTCGATCATTTCTCCCTAAGCCAAGCATTAACAGACAATAGACAGGTTTTTGTTAGTAAATTCCCAACACCATTTATTTAAAAATTGGTCCCTTTTATTGTTAGTAAAATTACAAGAAAAAGTGCTTCTTTGAAGAATATGCCAGTGCCTCATTTTTATGTTATCGTGTTATTTTTTTGTATATATAGTAGAATTGCTAGAGTGCTACATAAAACAATTAATTCAGCAAAGAAAAGCAATAAATATGATCGGCCGTGTCCAAAATTACATAACTTAGATTACTCCCACCATTTAAATTTTAATCTAATTTGCTTTAAATATATTTGCTATTAAATTTGTTGAGAACTGGGTTCATAAAAACATGTATTAATTACTATCTACACTTTCTCGCATTACAAATACATATAAAGCATAATTTTTTGCAGGATGTACTATAATTTTTATTATTATTATATTTTGAACTGTTGTCCTGCAAAACATATTCACTATTGTGACATTGGTAACTATAAATTAAAAGTTAAACAATTTTTAAAGAGAATTGATATTTTTAAATATTCAGTAGTAACATGTTAACATGTTCAATGCAGGCTAGAATGTCAATTCTCATCCACCCAGGCATTTTTTTAAAATTAATTTTATTACACATTGAGACCTTCCTGTAGTGGAGCCAGCTCAATAGTTGGAATATTTTGGCCAGCCACAATGAACTTGTTAAAATGTAAATAAAATAGCTTGCAATTTTGTTATTAAACTTATAAACAAGCCTCTATTAATGTGAATGTTTACTACTATTTTGATATATGGCCAAATAAAGAGATTAAAAACTGCTTTGGCTTCCAATTTTCATTTCAAATTTTTTTCTGTTTTATGATCAATATTGACAAATAAGATTTTATCACACATACCTGGCTTTCAACAAGCATGGCCATGTCCATGAACATGTCATGGAGTTCCCTTATTGAGTTTTCTAATTTTATTATATCTGCATGCCTAGCTTCTATATCAGCTAATGTTTGTTTTGCCTGCTGTGTGTCCATTATGATCTATAAACAAATTTTATTTTAGACAAGGCCTGAGCTGACAAAACATTCTGCACTTACACCTTGGGTGAACACAGCAGAATTGCCTTTTTCTAACATTTCTTCTAATTCTTCATTGGTTGTCGTCCTACCCGCTAAAGGGGAAAAAATGTGTTTAACATTGTTCTTTTTTTATAAAAAACTTGCGATACGCACTTATTTCTAACTGCCTTTGTATTCTGCCTTTACATCGCTCTCTGTAGTCTGTCTGTGTGCGATTGTATTCAGTCATTACTTCAACAAACTTTCGAGAGAGGGTCGAATGTTGAGTCTTCCGTATTCTCAAGTCGGCTGACGATTTGTTGGTGTGCTCTTCTTGTTCGATATTCTGTTCGATTACTGGAAAACACAAGGAACTTTGATTGTAAGCTGTTAAAACACTGTCAGGTTTTTAATGGATGAGAATCACAAAATAAGAGACCTCTCGATGGCGCTAAGCTCTCTTCAATAAAATATATTTTAAAAAAATCTTTACTATTACATATCAAATTCAACATAATTTGGTATTTCCATTCATTATTCTTTTATCTAAGGTCTTGGTTGAGATGAAAAAGTGAAGTGTCACGAGCGGGATTCGAACCCACGACCTTTGGCTCAATACGCTGCTGCTCTAACCACTTGAACTATTGTGACTTCGATCCACTCGGACACCAACTCCTCATCTCCATTGAATTCAGAATAAAAAAAACCTTCCAAAAAAGACGCTACATGTAGAGAATCTTGCCATTTAAAGCCTCTTTCTTTCCCACTATCCTGAAGAGTTAGAATGAGAATTTTTTGCTTCGTGAAAAACAAAACAAAAATTAAAAGTTTTTGTGTCTTGGGGTTTTTTCCCAAAAACACCGAATTAAAAATTAAAAAAAAAAAAAATGGAGTACAAAGGTTGAATATCAATAAAGCCTCAGATACCGATCACTCCAGAAATTGTACCCAAAATGCAATAAAACTTTTTAAAACTGGTGAAACTAAAATATTTTTTTAAAAAATTGAAAATGTAGGTATTTTAACTGGTATTTAGTTTTTCAGCTACTGGTAGAGGTGTTGAGTTTTGATGTATTCGATTATTTGTACTAGATATGAAATACCGATTGCTCCAATTGTACTCAAAATGCAAAAAAAAAAATTTTAAAACTGGTGAAACATATAAAAAATTCGAAAAAGTAGGTGTTTTAACTGTTTATTTATTTATTTGGAAAGCTTTTCAATTACATTGTAATCATCTTCAGCCCTTATCCTGTACAAAAATAAATAGAGTGACAAGCATTTATAAAATTTGAAAAATCTGTGTACTAATGTTTCCCTAATCTTATACTACATTCCAATGAATTTAATTAAATAATTACAGTTAACGAAAATAAAATAAAATAAGCCTGTTAACATGAGGACATTCTCTAATTTTTGTTGTTTGATCTGGTTAAATGCTTTAATTTTTTTTCTTTCAATGGAAATAAAAAAGGGATAACTTCTTCATATTCAGGTATCTGAAGGATGACACCTACTATATACAGGTAGCAAAGCATTTATCCATCATTTAACCTGATTTTCAGTCAAAATTTCCCCGGTTAAAAAAAAATGGAATTTTTTAGATTTTCACAGGCTTATGATTTTTATTACAGCATGGTTGGCTTATCAACTCTGATATTAGTGGCATGAAGGAAACATGTCCAAAAAGATAATATAGATTTAAAAACCGTCCTGCTATCATTTTATTTAAAATACCATCACTCTTTCAAACTTTTAAGGGAATTAAATTATTCTCAATAAAATTTTTAGTTAGATTATTTAATAAATAAGCTAACGCCGGGGTCTAATCTATATTGTACTCGATTTTCGGTAGTCGTTAGTACATTGAAGAAAAGAGCAATATTTTACATCTTGAACAAATGATATGCTATAATCTTGATGAAAAATTGATAAGATAATAAGAATCATAGGAGCACGGTTTGTAGTGGAAAGGGTTGTCCATCTGTCGTGTGCCGTGAGTGGAAAGCCGCTATTCACCGGATTTAGCCTCTTCCCCCCTCATCAAAGTCAATTCAAGAAGGAAGAACAATAGATCTAGAAGCCATCCAACCCAGACAATTGTCTCAAGCGGCCTATCGACCCACGGGGATTTTTCCCACTTATCCTCCTTCCCCACTCCTGCTGACATCCGGGGAATTTTTTCAAGAATCAATTTAATACGGTTTAATAACACTACTCTGAGTCAATAGGGACTTTTGTCCCGAAATATGCCATGGTTGGGGAATACATAATGCGTGTACACCATCTTGCGCGTGCGTACTTCTATGGAAGTACGCAAAGCCGGCTGTAGAAAGTTGAACTATGTAATATAAAGTAATTAAGCACTAAGCGTATTGGAATTGATGTCGTGAATTGGAATTGAATTGGACTAACGCACACTAACACTTTTTGAATGGTTGAAACGACGGGACAATACGATCAAAATTATATTTAACACAGTGAATAGGAGACAGTTGAATGGTTCAAAATGTTAAAGTTCAGTTGATGCTTCAATTCAATTTTATTGTTTTGTGACTTTTAAATTTATCTTCACGGCAAGGTCAGCATGTTTCCTTATCACCCTTTCAAATTCACATGTCATGGGTCAAAATCAATTAAGATTTCGAGTGAATAGTTATATACAAGTTATAAGATATCGATACAATTCCACAAAAGAGATCAGAATATACCAAGGCGCATTCGTGATAATCGGTATTACTCCATTTTGGTGGACTTGTAGTCTTTTTAATTGTGAGTCAATTGCAGACTCCAAGAAAAGTGACGCATGTTGCCTAATGGGACGGAGAAATGATAAGGTACCCGAAATGCATCCATGACTCAGTGTCGTTTCAAATCTTCTGCGACAGGCGTGAATGCAACTCACGTAGATTTTTGGTGATTTAGTTTCATACACCATTTTTTATTCTAGTAAACAATTTTATAAACAATATTTTGTAATTGTTTTTACTCTGTTCGACCATCTTTGCAATTACTTAGTATAGCAAAATCATCTGCAAAAACATGGCTTGTCAAGTTAGAACTGGGGAAGTCATGGAGATAGCACAAGTAAAGAAAAGGCACCCCAAGACGTTTCCCTGCAAAACCCCCTATGGATAGATCTTGTTATCAAGTGACGTATTGTTTGATGAGAGTTTTATTGGTCAATCGGCAGCTCCTCCTTAATTTTGAAAAGAATTCCAGACTGCCAGACCCTATCAAAGGCCCTGCTGCATGTCGACAAATAGAGGCTGACATGTCTCTCTTTTTTCGTGTTTTTAAAATTGTATAAATTACTCTAGGGAGCTGCTAGCATGAGTGTTGCGGGCGGCAGAAACCAATTTGGAAAACAGGAATTTTATGTGATAAATATTGTAGAAGTTTTGGCAGGGTAAGCCTTTCAAAAATTTTGTAAAACAAAGGTAATGTACGTTTTTATTTCTGAAATATTCTTATCGACAAATTAAAAGGATCTGTAAATTTTTGAAATTTATTTCAAAATGGAACTGATTTAGTTCTGTACTATTTGAAAAGTTAAATTCTTGAAGTATGAGAATTTATACGTATTTCCATAAAGCGTAAAATTAGACAAAATATAGAAACTAAGTTGCCAAATTAAAGAAAACAATAAAAGCACTATTAAAAACCATTAATATGAAATAAATAAGAAAGTATTTCAGTGCCAAACATTATGAAATTAAAATTGTTTGTATGAAAATAAAGATTTTTTTTTAAAGTTGTCTCCAATGGAAATTTTTCTTTACAAAAGAAAGGCTAAGATTTGTATAGAGGTATAGATTGTGATGTGATTGACGTTCCGTGCGTATAAAAAGATTTCTTTTCGTTTATTACCCACAATTAGGATCAGGAATTATGGCTTAAATTTCTTGTAAAAATATACTCTAAGCAATTAGAAGGATTTGATAGAAGGAATATACAGGGTGACTCTACTTCAATCCAACACAAACTTTCCTCGAAAACGAAAGCTTATGAAGAACGTTTATATGTTAACTCCACAGTGTTCCCCTAAACATTATTTTCTCTTACAGTATTAGGTAATTGAGTACTTATTTTTGATAAGACATAGGAAGTTTTGATACAATAAAAAAAAGATTTTTTAATACAAAAAACGAAACCAAGAACGATTAGATTGGTTGCTGATTACTGATTTGTATAAACTAAAAATCTGCACACAGGTGGACTTACATACACGCACACATGCTTACACAAATTCCAGCTTTTAATTTACAATAAATAACCGGCTGGCCTCGAGAATTATCCATGCTAGGTGTTGGCAGTCGGGTGTCACTTCGGTCTTATCCGTCCAGCAACTGAGATGAAGTTCCAGAGGCCATCGCGCCATCGACCGTCACACACTACACGTTCATAGTAATAAATACATTCACTCTCAACACACACTAGCGGGCACAAAACAATACATTTATCAGTACTATATATAATTAAACAACTCTGGTACGGTCAAAAAACGGAACATATTCGCTGTCGTGCTCAAGCACAATTCTCTTATTGGGTGCCATTCTTACACGTTCGCTTTATGAATTAAGGAATTGTTCAATTAGATGGGAGATCGAGAAAACTTTCTGTACATTCCGGGCACATATAAGCACACGTGTGTCGACCTCGCATGGCCTATCGTTAATCGGGTAATAATGACCCTTCTTCTATGAGTCAGATCCTCCGAGGGCCACCTATCACCGCTGTTGATACATTAGATTGGCTGCGTATTTCCAGAGAAATTTCATTTCGAAGACAAAGGAAGTATTTCATACTTTCAGTGTTGTTCTAAGGTCTATTGGCATTGTTTCTCACATTTTTTAGTTTAACTACTGTTTAGTTATGTAAATTTGGACTCATCAGTCCATACATTATAATTATTATCGCAACTTTCTACAGGATTATTTTAATGTTTCACCAGTGTTTTGTATGTGTATCGTGAAGACAATACGTATAAAAATCAATAAAGAAACCTAAGAAACTAGTCTCATTTTCATCCAATAGTACCTAAAGAACCCATAACAAGAATAAACCGGGTTCATTCGCCCGACGTCAACCCAAAGCTAGGATTCGTCCAAATCGATGGAAGCTCCAACTTAGTCGCATATCAAAAATTACAATTTATAGCCTGTTCTTGTACGTACCATGTACGGGGACACTCACCTTTAAGTTTGGCACGGACTTTATTCGCTGTCTTTTTAATTTCCGCCATCAAATCCTCTAGCTCCTGCTTGACCTCTGAAACAAAGAAACGTGTCGATTAGTGGTGGGAAAAGTGTTAAAATTATACATTATATATAAAGGGCCTAATATCCGGAGAGCATAAATAACACTAAGCTTCAGATTTAAAATTTAAAGTCGGGGAGAACGGCCGCAAATGGTGTTGGATCTCGTCTGTTTCATTTCCGAGGGAAGGGGGTTCCGCAAAACTTGCTCAATTATCATGTAAACGAGAAGGGCACACGTTGCTGGTGGGAGGCAGGCGAAGCGACTCAACGCGAAGATTTTCGCCATTTCGTTTCTTAATATAATAACTTCTAAAATTATATAAGTAAATTTAAAATTACTTAATAAATTAAAGTTTACACTAAAAGAAAATTATAAACCGAACCGTTAAAACTATTGGAGAAAGATATAAACTATTTGAACTCAGCAGAGTTAAGTCAATGTAAATTAACACAGACCGCATCTAATGGTTTGTTATGAATTTTTCTAAACGATTTTTTTAAATTAAAAAATTACCCAGAAAATAAAAAATCGCACTTAATAAACTGTTTAAATTATCTTCAATTTTATGTTAACTAATTAATTATTCTTTTTATCTAAGATTTTTGGTTAAGATGAAAACCTTAGATAAAAAGAATAATTAATTAAAATAATTAATATGATCAACTGCGACCACTAAGCAAATATGGATTAATTTATTCTAAACCTAGATACGTTCAAAACGATTACGATCTTATGAAAGGAACATCGGCTGATAGCAGCGTCTTTATTTATGTTTCTGCAGGTATATTTATGTTCTTTTAAAAGCATAAGTTAATGTAACCGAAAAACCCCACAAAATATGAAAAGTGGGAACAAATGTTCTAAGTTAAAAAAAATCTAACTAACTAGAACAATCTGCAAATGCCAACGGTTATTTTTCTTCTATGACCTACATATCTCTTACAAAAATAGTTAGGCGAAAGTAGTCAAATTTGTATAAACATAGTTTGCTGTGAATCAACTGAGGTATCAAACCGGAACGTAGATGAACAAAACTGGATATAATTAAAATTCTTTAACGAAAAAAAAAATCCAAACGAGAGACTCTATTGCTCACAGAACAACGCTCTTAGAGAGTTTTAAGATTCCATTTTAAGAAATGGTTCCACTCGTATCTTTCTGAACACAACCAATGCGTGCGTATTGGAAGTAGCCTGAGTACGAGTACAAAAATAAATAATGGACTTCCACACAATCTCTTGTTAGTTTAAGTTAACGAGATTTTGTGCACTGAACATTTAAAAGGATCTAATTTCCTCTGCAGGTGATATTTCCGCTCATTACTCAGGCAAATCATGGAAAGACGAAGAAAAATAGATGCAATCTGATATGAGACTTCTTAGTAAATGGTTTGCTTATACTCGACTATAGCTTGGTAGTAAATCCAAGTTCATATGCTTTAATCTCCAGAATTCGATTCACACTGACCCTAAACGTCCTTCTATTGTCTCCAATGCTTTGATAAACTCCTATGTGATAGATGTGTTAAGGTGGTTCAAGTCATGCAATTAAATATCTAGACGTGATTATAGACGACTGCTATTGATTTAGTACACAAACGACTTCAGCATGGAGTAAGAAATTCTTACTTTCTACAAATGTAACATTTCCTTTGTATTTCAAATTTATTATATCCTCAAACAATCGTAAATTCAATAGTCTTCGTATGCTGGGGGAGTGCATATGAAAATGCTAAAAAACTAATAAAAGTCATACAGAAAAATTATTCGTGCCCAAACACCAGATTTTTTCGGAACCTTGTGGTACTTTTTCAATAGATGGGGAAATTATAGCGTCAAATATAAAAAATTAAATGTAGTATGAGATGTCCTATAAACAGGGTGTTGTCCCAACCAAAATTAACGTTCATGTTTAATTGTTTTCTGAATGAAGGCCCTAAGTGGTTCCATTAAGTCCCTAATAAGATCAAATTAATGTGAACTAATTCCCCAAAATTTTTCTAAATAAGTCAGCTCTTTGAGTATATGGCTAAGAACAGTAAAAAAAAAATTAGTACTACTATTTAAAAAGGAAAATTCTAAGTTTTTCACTTCATTTTTTTAAAACCACTCTTACAACTTTTAACTACTATAATTACGAAGTATAAAGACTTTGATTGAATCTAAAATTTTCTAGCATTGTATAAATTCATTTTTTTAATCTAGAATTTTCTAGCATTGTATAAATTCATTTTTTTAATCTAAAATTTGATAGCATTGTATAAATTCATTCTTTTTTTTAATCTAAAATTTTCTAGCATTGTATAAATTCATTTTTTAATTTAAAATTTTCTAGCATTGTATAAATTCATTCTTTTTTTAAATCTAAAATTTTCTATTATTGTAAAAATTCATTTTTTTTTATTTAAAATTTTCTAGCCTTGTATAAATTTTTTCACATCCTACATGTATTTGTAAAATTTAAACAATGTTTATAAATCCCAGGCCCTTAAGACGATCACAATAAAGATCGAACGGCGCCTATCACTGTAAGGTGAAGGTCCCGGGTTCGAATCCAGCGGCCCTGCATTCGAACCCGACATACTTACAAATGTAAGTACTTTTTTTTCAAAAACACCGGCACCCTGAGGGTTTATATCACCTCTGCTGTTGCGAACCCTCGTTAAAAAAAAAAAAAATTAAAAAAAAATAAAAGATAGAAACGTTGGTATGATAAAGAAAATGTTATTCTAAAACGTACGACACACCAGACAGCACCTTACGATCTCCAAATTGGCTAACGGTCACTAAACACCACACATTATAATTACTATTTTTTTTCTCTTTACGTTTGGTAATTTATGTTCCCTATTCACTACATTTCCCCTTAACCTATTATTTTCTCTTCTCATTATTTGTATTGCTTGTACCTCTTGGATTTACCTCAAGGCATATAGCACCAACTTAAGTTGTATAAACATATATATTTTTCCTTTGTATTAGGAAATTTGAACCAATTGAGTTTCTTTTCTGTACTATGTATTAGCCTAATAAAGTTGATGGAAAACAAATCCAATAGGGAAAGTCCATTGTTCACATAACAACTGGGTCTTTGTGTGTGTGTGTGTGTTTTTTTTTTTAATTAAAAGCTATGAAGAGAACTTATCAAGATAACTTATTACATTAAACTTATTGACGTCTTTAGCAAATTCATGAAATAACGAAATGTCCTTTTAGGTAGTTTAATCATTGCAAGTACGGCTTTGAGCTACGTGGGTAATTCAGGTTTTCTTCAGTCAAATGTAGTAGATTAGAAATTGGCACAGAATGAGGAAAACGTAAAAAATTGACTTTTTGGAATGTATATCAGTACTTAATTAACTGCTCAATGGTTCAAGTAAAAATATTGTTTTTCTTTTTTTTTACGATTATGAATATCAATACGTAATTAACTGCACAATAGTTATATTTTTTATTTATTTTATGAACATCAGTGCGTAATTAACTGCACAATGGTTAAATTTAAAAAATTGATTTTTTTTTACTTTTGTGAATATCAGTACGTAACTAACAGCACATTGGCTAAAGTAAAAAAAATAGGATTTTTTTTTCTTTTATGAATATCACTACGCAATTAACTGCACAATGGATAAAGAAAAAAATGATTTTTACTTTTATGAACGTACATAATTAACTGCACATTGGTTAAAGTAAAAAAAAATATTTTTACTTTTATGAACGTACGTAATTAACTGCACATTGGTTAAAGTTAAAAAATTTATTTTTTTACTTTTATGAAGATCAGTACGTAATTAACAGTACAAGATAAAGAAAAAAAATCAGTACGTAATTAATTGCACAATCGTTAAAATAATAATTGTTCGTTGTACGAATTATTATTTGTTTAAACATATAACCTTGTACGGACTTGGAAAATGAAACGTCGGGATGTCGGGCGGGTTTAGAAGAGACGGAGCGCCGGGTCGGATGAGCTTAATTTATTACCCAACGCCCCACGGTACGTCGCCGTTGGCTTCTATTAAACTATGTATTTTATCTTTTTTTATGCTTGAACTATAAAAGAAAATATCGGATAATATAAAAAAAAATAAAAAAATATTATAATGTTCAGCCTACTTAATAACATATTTCATTTGGCATTGATTTTAAGTATGAAGAGCTCGACAATTCTTAACAAACAAGTGAGACCAATTGTAAACCATGTGGTAATAACTTTTGTATTAAATCCGTCTAAAAATAATGCGATATTGATCAATAAAAAGGTCTTTCATACAAAATAAACTTTCCAAAGTAACCGCCCCTTACGCTCGAAAGCCTAGGAAGATCGCAATAACCAATTAATAAATCTATTATAAGATCATATTGTTTCATTATCTTACGACGGAATGAATGATGATGAACCTTTGTTCGTTTCCAATCATACTGGTCCGCCTATCCTCGCCGTTTTGGCCTGTGTTACGGCTTCTCACTATCCTCAACGGTGGCTTTGTGTAATATTCTGTCAGCCAAGCCCTTTTAATAAAAATATTTTAATTACCTTAGAGAATTACCACACACCTTCGGTTAATTCCTCTTGATTCCACCTTTTATAAAATTATAAAGAAACTCGACCAACAAAAATAAACGAAGGTCAACTACCGAATTTTATGAAAAGCTAAAGAGTCTGATAGACGCAGTTAACAGGGCACGATGAAGAGAAATGATTACAGTTAAAAGTACTTGATTAAAATTAAATATGATACTGAGTATGCAACGAAAATATTATTGAATAATATTCAATGATACAGTTAAAATGTTCATCGAATGTTAAGGAGAAAAAAAAAAGCGAAATTTTATAAATTCTCCGTCAGTTTACATTAGAACCGACTTGCGGCTTTCAACATGGCACTAATTACATAAAAAGATTATCACGCGTTATAACCACCAATTTTTAACCCTCCAAAGGGCCAAAAATCGATCCCCTCCTGACCATCGTGATTAGGGTAGAAGGGTGAACCTGGGGCGGAACTA